GCACAATATCATCGACCAACGAAGACTCACAAGATACTGGTTTGAATGCACACAGGATGAACTCTCCTTCGGGGCGTTGATTCCAGGGAACGATTCGTTCTCGCAAGCTGTGATTGTTCATCGTCTGAATGGCAACAACTACCTCCAATAGTCGCAACATACTCTAATGTTTATTTAAGGAAAGAATTGTGAGAAATACCTCACAGAGAATCCTCCAGCAATCACAGATGCAAAGTTTGAGTCTTGATGGGCAAAAAACAATATGGTCATGGCCTGGCTCGTGAATTCTATGACTGTCGAGATTGGCAAAAATTACCTATTGGCAACCACAGCCAAAGAAATATGGGAATCTACGAAGCGCACCTACTCAGTCAATGAGTACACAGCTACCATTTTTCAAGTGAAGCGATTGCTTTGAAATCTCTTGCAAGGAGAGCAATTTGTCACTCAATGTTACAATGCTCTCATGAGGCTATGGAAACAAATTGATATCTACGAGCTCCATGAGTGGACTTGCTAGAAAGATGAAAAGTACTACAGAAAGATTGTTGATCGAGAAAGGTGCTATGAGTTTCTACTTAGACTCAATGACTCCTTTGGGGATGTTCGAGGACATATAATGGGCATGAGGCCTCTTCCATCACTAGAAGATGCCTTTAACATGCTCAAATGTGAAGAAAGTCAAAAGATTTTAACTCAGGGACATTTTACACCTTCTACTTCACCCGAAGATTCTACACTTGCTGTCAAAGGAAATCAAGGAGATATGAAGGGTAAGAAGTCTGGAAGGTGTGATCACTGCAACAAAAACGAACATACTCGAGAAACCTACTGGAAGCTACATAGCCAGCTTCAGAATTTCAAACAGAAAGGAAAGGGACTGTCAGTGACCACAACAGAAGCTGAAACTGGGGAATTAAGCACTGAAGAGCTGCTGGTCTTAAGGAAAGTTCTGGAGAAACATTCTGCATCTGCAAAAATATGTGAGAATAATACTCCTTCTGCGACTATAGCACAAGCAGGTACAGCTTTAACTCAAACTTTTGATAGTATGAAAAATCCAACAATATTTGAATTGTCGATTCTAGGGCATCTGATCATGTAATAGTTTTAGGAATCTGTTTTCTAAATTTAGTGAATTTTCTAAGCATGAGACTGTTGAAGTTGCAAACAGACAATATGCTAAAGTATTCGGATCTGGCACTATGATAATCTCTGAAAATATTGTGTTGAAGGATGTGTTATATGTACCTGAGATTAAGTGCAGCTTATTGTCTGTAAAATGTGTGGCATCTCAAATAAGCTGTCATGCTATTTTTGACAAAAGTGGCTGTGATTTTCAGGACTGGCCTTAGGAAAGATGATTGGCAATGCTAAGGAGACGAATGGGCTCTACGATATCCATAGATCTCCATCAAATAAAAGTTATGGTGTTTTTTCTGTTATGTCTCATGAAGACTTGATGTTATGGCACTCTAGGTTAGGCCACCCTAGTCCACATTATTTGCAACTTTTATTTCCAAATATCAATAAAGAGTCAATTTCTAAATTTCATTGTGAGACTTACCACTTTGCTAAACAAGTTCGAAATTCTCATCCATCCCACAAATATACACCAAGTCACCCTTTTGCTCTCATCCACAGTGATGTTTAGGGTCCATCCAAATTTGAAACAAATTCTAAAACAAGATGGTTTGTAACATTTATTGATGATCATTCTCGCTTGACTTCGGTATTTCTAATGAAAGAAAAAATTAGAAGTTTTCAATATCTTCAAAAACTTCTATGCCTTTGTTCAAAATCAGTTTCAGACTTCCATAAAAATTCTTCAAAGTGACAATGGGAGGGAATATGTGAATCTGAATTTTCAAAAATTTTTGAAAGAAAAAGGCATGCATCATCAAAAATCTTGTGTTTGCTCACCTCAACAAAATGGTGTGTTTGAAAGAAAAAAACAGACATTTACTTGAAGTAGCTAGAGTTATTATGTTTGAAAGTCATGTTCCAAACAAATTTTAAGGGGATGCTATTCTTACATCCGCTTATCTTATAAATCGCTTACCTTCCAAAACTTTAAATTTTGCCACACCCTTTCAAAAGTTTTTTGAAAGTTTTCCTAACTCTCCTACCAACATCCCTCAAAAAAATTTTGGGTGCACAGCTTTTGTTTATAATGAGGGAGCAGGAAAATTGGATACTAAAGCCATAAAATTCATTTTCTTGGGCTATTCTTCTAGTTAAAAAGGGTATAAATGTTTTTCTCCTGTCACCAATAAGGTATATGTGACCATGAATGTTCACTTCCTTGAAAAACAACCCTATTACTCCAAATCACCCATTCAGGGGAGACTACTAAGAATAAATCTGAGAATAAATGGCTGATGTGTAATGATCATCATAAATATTCCAAATCTGGACGGAAACAGGATGCTCCCCATATATCACTAGATGACACCTTTGAACATACTGACTCCTTTGATTATATAGCCTTACCTCAATATACTAATGTTTCACCAAGAATCAATTCAAATCCTCACCAAACAGACTCTACAAATTTTGGAAATTCCCAAAACAGATCAGATTTTCAGGATATTAATCCTTTTGAAACTCTTAGCCTGTTCCTTGATGACCTTGAAACTAGGGTGGAGGAACCTAATCGTGCTACTGAACAGGACCATAATAGGGAAAGAGCTGAACCCATTTATGTTCCGATGCAAAGCCATAACTCCACACCTGAGGTGAGTCTTGAAGACCTACAATGGCCTATTGCCCTTAGAAAAGGGAAGACAAGTTGTACCCAACATCCCATTGCAAGGTATGTTTCCTATAAGAAACTTTCTCCCCATATGAAGACATTCATGGCGAATGTTGAACAGGTGAAAATTCCTAATAGTTTTGAAGAAGCGATAACTGATCATAAATAGAGGCAAGCTATAGATGAAGAAATAAGGGCACTTTACAAGAATCAAACTTGGAAGATCACCAACTTGCTAAAGGGAAAATCTGTTGTTAGCAGTAAGTGGGTTTTCACTGTGAAATATAACCTTGATGGAAGTGTAAACAAATATAAAGCCAGATTTATTACAAGGGGTTTTACTCAGACCTATGGTATAGACTACTAAGAGACCTTCTCCCCTATGGCCAAACTCAACTTAGTTAAGGTCTTATTATCACTTGCTGCTAATCTAGATTTGCCACTTCACCAATTGGATGTTAAAAATGCATTTCTAAATGGTGATCTAGATGAGGAAGTATACATGGAGATTCCTCTTGGTTTGAGAAATTCTGAAAACTCTCATAAAGTTTGCAGGTTGTACAAATCGCTACATGGATTAAAGCAGTCTCCAAGAGCTTGGTTTGACCAATTCTCTCGAGCCAAGTCTTGGGGATACAAACAATGCCAAGTAGATAACACTCAAGCATTGTGGAGAAAAATCAACAGTCCTTATTGTTTATGTGGATGACATCGTGTTGACAAGGAACGATGTGGAAGAAATCACTAAACTAAAGGGAAATTTGGCTGCAGAAATTGAGATTAAAAATCTTGGTCCCTTAAGATACTTCCTGGGAATGGAAGTGGCAAGAACACAAAAGGGGATTAGTGTATCACAACAAAAATACTCTAGATTTATTAAAGGAAACAGGGATGTTGGAGGCAAGGCCTGCACACACTCCAATGGAACTAAATCAGAAGTTGACAATTAAACCTAATGGCACAGCGGTAAACAAAGAAAGACACCAGAGATTAGTAGGAAAATTGATTTATTTGTCCCTCACACAACCTGACATATGCTTTCCAGTTAGTGTCGTGAGTCAATTCTCTAGTGCTCCTCAAAAGGAACACATGACAGCAGTTTACAGGATTCTTAGATACTTGAAGAAGACTCCTAGACAAGGACTTTTGCAAAGAATGTCACCAGAAATCTTGAGTTATTCATTGATGCAGATTGGGGAGGCTCGAAGAGTGATAGAAGATCAACTACTGGGTATTGTTCTTATGTGTGGGGAAACTTAGTAAGCTGGAGGAGTAAGAAGCAACCAGTAGTGTCAAGAAGTTCAGCAGAATCAAAGTACTAAGCCTTATCACTAGGAATATGTGAAAGGATGTGGATCATCTGTCTCTTGAAGGAATTGAAGATTAATCCAAATGGTCTGATTAAAGTATGGTGTGATAATATGTCAACTGTAAAGATCGCTAACAACCCTGTTCAACATTGATAAACACTTCATCAAGGAAAAAATTGAAGCTAAGGTGATAGATCTATCTGACATCCCTTCAGGGAACCAGATTGCAGACATTATGACCAAATCCTTGACCCAAAACAAATTTGAAGGACTCAGAAGCAAGCTAAGAATGATTAATATCTATTTGCCAGCTTGAGGGGGAGTGTTGGATAACGGCCCAAGGCACCATAAACCAATATCAAGATTAGACCTATTTTTCCTCATTTAAATAAGATCTACTATCTATTATTAATATCTGATTTTATCTCGTATCAGCATCTGATTTGATTTGTCAAGATTATAGGAGAGATATTAGTGATTTGTGTAGATTCTCTTCCTCTCATCTCTTCTATATATGTAAACACTTCTTATGAATAAAATATCAGTGCTGTTCTACCTTAATTATAACACATACAACTCTCAAAGGCAAGCTTAAGCAACCCCTTCGTTAATAAACCTACACCTTGAAGATTAGGAGGCAGATAAGTCAGATATATAATTCCTGCTTTCACTTTTTCTCTTACAATATATTGATCAGGTTTTGAGGGTTTTTCTGCCTTCATTTTCACCTTTCTTGTTCATTTTCCTTAACATTGCACCAATATAAGACATGTTAATCCCCATTTGCACCAAGCAAACACAACTTCAAAACCAAAAGGATTGGTGCTAATATAGTCATAGCGTTGATGTAATATGATCACAATTCACACACAAAGATTACATCACTAGTTAAATGTAACAGCTTATTGAAGAAACAAACACCCATTAACTAAGACCTGATCAAGGAGGAGAGACAAAAGTTTATCAGCATCACTTTCTGATAAACCATGCTCAGGAGTAATTTGCAACTTTGGACACTTGAAAGGATAGCCAGGTAAGAACCTAGAGAGAGAGAGAGAGAGAGTTAGCAACACATTGTAGTGGATAGACACAATGCTAATCAACCAAAGCCTTACTGACCTAACAACAAGAACAGCAGAAACATCTACATCCTCGTACCCCATGTCCTTTGAATAGGGTCTGCTTGATTTCAACCAGAAATCAATTATGAGATACCAACAGAAATTATCAGGCCTGGTACGAAGCAGCAGAGAAAAGCAGCAAAGAAACAAACCTGAGCTTAATAACTATCTGAGGAGGTGATCCAGGAAGAATTTTGCAGTCTTCTTGGAAAATCGCACATCTAATGCCCAAAAATATCATATAAATAAGATCATGAAGACAAAATCAGAAGTTAACGACATTTGTTGTAGCTCAAAAATCCAACCTCCACTACTGAAAAGAGATTCATCAGCAATAAGCTCAGTTATCAACATTTTTCTGTGCCCTAAATTTATAATTATAGATGGCCCAAATTTCTTGGATAAAAAAAAAAAAAAAGTCGTCTGCCTCAATGAAGTGATGCAAGCAATATTTTTTTTCTTTGAGGAGCACCTCTAGATTATGTTAATATACTCCCACTGCCAGAAGACGAAAACCATGATTACAAAACAGTGCAGATACTACTTTGCTATCCATAACTTAAAAGTTCTTAAAAGAAAAACTGAGAAGACAAAAAAGGCTGGGCTTAAAAGAAGAATCATAAATGCAAAAGACAGAGCGGAAAACAGGGAAGTGAAAGAAGATAGGGAAAACACATAGAACCTTAATGTCGTTGCAAACCAACAAGAGTCTTACAGAAGATAGCCCACTATATGGTATGAGACATGTGTCTTCTACATTCAAGCAAAAAACCAGATAATGGGCAGCACATGTGTCAAACTTAAAAGCCAGTTACGTAACAATAAATCCTATTTATACTACTCCAATTGCACTATTGATCCAAGTCAGGTTCCCCAAAGAGCATCACCGAATTATCCAAAGCTGGTGTCCAATATTGTCATAATGTATTAAAACGAAATCCAGAAGGACTCTGCTAACTTGCTAGTAAACAGAATCTCATGATATAGATGTACTATTCTTCTATATCTGAATTAGTTATGATTCATAAATTACTAGTATAATCAAGCGAGCACATTAACACATTACAATTACAATTACGTTAATACATTACAATTAACCTGAGCAAAAGAGTAAGACGTAGCAGCCTGAAATGTACTCCGATATTTGATTAGTTTGGCACTCTATTTTTAATCCAAACAATTTATCCACCCCAATTAATACATATTAATTAAAGTATCTTGACACAAAAAAAAATATGTTTTAATAATTCGCTAGATCAATTCTATCCAGGTTTCCTAGCCTATGCTTGGCCTGAATTAAAGAGTTCACAGGTAATCTAGGTCGCGCTGAATATAACTCAAGCAACAAAAACACTTACAAAGCAGTGATTTCTTCCGACAGTCATTATCATCCCCACTAAATTGAGATACACGATCTTTATGGGGTGCTCTTCCCTTAATTCTCCTTCCACTACCTCCTCCACGCTTCTTCTTCCTTGAACTGTGGCCCATTCTTTTCCTTCACCCTGCAAGAGGAAAACTCTTTGCTCCTTCTCCAACTCTCACTAACCTGATTCACCTTCACACTCAACCCAGACTATGTTTAGTCGGTTCAAATGATCAGCATCCATTCACAGGAACCAGAAACATCTCGGATTACAGTAAAAATGCAATTCCCAGAAAAGTGATCTAAATGAGGAATGAGAAATTGGAAATAGTCAGATTTTTTTTTTTTTGGCACAAAAAAATGGTCAGAGCAAGTGAAATAAGGATAATTTGCGCGAAGATATCAGAGATGGAGGCGCTCGATCTGCCTCTCCGAGTTTTTAAAACTTGGTTCAGCCGGGAAGGTCCGAGTTGGAACTTGGGGGCAGGTTGACTATTCATGACCAACAAGAACACGAAAATGCGGATTTCAGTTACAGGCACGGTGACATCAAGAAAGTAATTTGAATTTAAAGTTTAATTCATACTTTTTAAAATATATATAATATATATATATCTTGAAAGTTAAAATTTTAAAATTTAAAAGTAAAGATGTTAGGTGTATGGAAGGGGTTAATTTCTCACAGTATCATGAATTAAAGTTTCAATTTTCATTAAAAAATGTACCTACATTTAATCATCTGCCTCAATCTTACCTATGCTTAATAAAAAAAATTATTGAAAGTATAAACTAATTTAATTCAATTTGGATCATACAAATTCCACATAAATCACCCAATTAATAATAAGTACTTTCATGAATATGACTAGCATATAATTTAAACAAGGTTTAATCCTAGTCACTAATCTTACAAGAATGAGGGAACTTGATTTGTCTTATTATAGAGGGCTAGTCCTTTTCACTAGATCTAACCTCTATTAATACAAAGAGTGAGAATAGGTCAAGCCAAGTTTTTACTAATAAGCCTGAGCTTGTAATATAAATCTCAAACTTAAGCTTGTATACAACAGCAAGTCTAAGCTTCTATGTATAAAGATTTTTTTTTATAGGCTCAAGTCTCAATGTAGGCTTGGCTTAATTAAAGCATTATTAAGGCCTACTTATAGCCATAAGTAGGCCTTTAAAAAGGTTTATGAATTTAGGTTTCAAAGTCTTTAAGTGTGTGTTTGGGTTTTCATTGAACAAAAGTTAATTTGTCAAACGTTTATTTGACAACAGTTCATTTAATTAAAAGTCTTTTATGTAATAAAATTATATTTAAATACATTTCTTAAAAA